ATTGGCTTAATTTTAGATAGCGTCTAATGTATAATTCTTTATTTATATGTATAAAATATATTGGCCCACATATAGAAATTTCCCAACACTAGCTAGCCAAACATCTAAATGGTTGGCACGAGGATCTCACATGAGCGCCCAGAAGAATCAACGAGCAAAACCAATGGTTGACACAGGGGCTGTCCAAAAACAGGATGGCAAGAAGTTGCCACCTTCTAAAAAAACTGCAAAAATTACATTAGTACTTAGTAGCGGTTTTTCTTGGACTGGTATAGTGCTTTATGTTGGTTAAATTAAATTGCTGCCTATAATAAGCACTATAAAAATGTAGTCTAATAAATGTAAATTTTAATATAAGTTTTTAGATCTCAATCATCTTAGTATTTAAATTATATATTTTGAGAATTAATTTTGTGATTATTTAAATTTAATGTTTAGTATATTAATGGATAACAATTATTGAGATAAATTAATGAGCAACAAAATATTTACCTGAATTTAATTTTCTTTGTAATAGGATATGAATTGGAGCCAACTATTTTTGTGATTTATTGTTTATAATTAATAAAACCAATTCCTTCATTATAGTGGGACCGAAAGACTAAATGAAAATAATGAACAGAAGAAGTAAATTCATTTTTATCATCGAAACTATCATTGATAAAAATACATTATTTCCTCCACATAAATATCCTAACCACGTCCTCTCACAATACACTTTGAGTCTTAAGGTTTCATAGGCCAATATAACCTTGCCTATATTGAGGTTAATTATTCTCTACACCTCACGGTCTCAAAAAAAATTTTTTTTTGAAAAATTTACATACATATCACTATATATCATCCTATTTACATATCTAACACCCGAAACTTTAATATTACATACATACCATCTTATATTATTTTAATATCAAATATACCACTTATATATTTCATTTCTATCACTCATATTTGATATGAAAATGAACTATAGGTGGTATGTATGTAATATTAAAGTTTTAGATGTTAAATATATAAATAGCATAGTATAGGGTGGCATGTATGTAAATGAGTAAATCTGTCTTTTTTTTTTTTTTCTCATTATCATATATCTCAACCATTTTATACCTTTATTTCAATATTAATTGAATGTGACCCCTACATCCATACTTACGAATATGGAAGCATATAAATAGAAGTGAAGCTCCTTAATCAAGAGTATTATTGGTTAAGCCTAGCTAGGATGTAATTAAAGAGTGTCCTCCTTTAAGAAGCCTCATCTCCCATAGTTATAATAAATCCTTTTCGGAGACACATTACTTGTAGAGTAAATTTCTAGGACTTATGCATTCATTTTGCCTTTCATTGATCCCCATGGAGTCATGGAGTATATTGTCACGACCTAACCCGATCGGAACAAATCCCATCGCGTTGAGTCAGGACGGATAACCCCAAGATCTAGCTTTGGAATTTGTTTTCAGACTATCTTCCAATATATAAAGAAAATACAAAATCACAGAGCTTCTACAAACATCCAAATATACAGTAAACTCATCCACAAAAGTATTTCTTTCTTCTCATTCTTCAAAGTAATCATATACATTACAGTGCATGGCTATAAACATAAAGATTAGAACATAATATAACAGAAATAGCTATGAATGTACAAAAATCAAAAGAGCAAAAATACCTATGACTTCAAATCAGATCCTGAACGGCTAATCCAAAACTTTCTTCCCTTTCTCACAACCTGAAAATCATGAAGATAACCACAGTGAGCTAATAGCTCAGCAAGACTACACTAGCCAATCTAAATTTCCAAATTCTCACATTCCAAAACAATTCCCATAAACTTTAAAAATAGTTTATTCAGATAACCGTACAAAAATTCAAATATTCATAAAAAATCTAGATATACAAATAAAATTTGGACAATTGTACAAAAATCAGATAATAAGATAGAATTCAGATAACATATACAGAACAGATAATCATACGGAGTAAGAAAGTTGTACTAGAGAGTTGCTTTAAGAAGCAGTAAGAAAGTTGTCCCAAACGAAGCCTTAGTCACATTCTTTTTTTTATGTCCTGTTTTCTTAGCGTTTTTATTATTAACCGCTTATAATTAAGTATTTATGATTAAAAGTCTATTTGAGACTATTGTAATATTTTATGAAGATAATTATAAATCTATTATAAGGAAAGTAATTTTCTTGAAAGTTGCTATAAAAAATAACTTTTTAGTATAATTTTTTTTAAAGGCAATAAAAAAGTAATTGTAATCTAAAACAACAAAATAAGAAGAAAGTTATACCAAACATACCCTAAAAATAACTATTTAGCTACATTTTTATAAAAACTAATGATACGAATTCTTAGTCACATGATCAATAGTGACATTTCTTCAAATAGAGATATAAAATACAGCTAATTATATTTATTTTAATCATAATTTTTTAAAATGTATAAATAAATTTATCATTTTTTAATAAATATTTGATTAGAGCTCATTTTGACAGTATTATGTGCAGTTTTGTTTTGTACCCGCCTGCTTCATAAACAAAAATGTTTATGAAGCAGTTCTATTTTTCTCTCAGCTCTAGCATGTTACTAGGTTTTTTTGTAACTATTAGTATTAGGGACCACCGGCTTATAGGTTTTTATTTTTCTTTTTTGATTGTATAGCTCTTATGAGCAGTAGAAAGCTGGAGGACCCTATTAAGGATTTTGTAATCCGATTTTTGATATTAACGCGTAGGCCCCTCTCGGGGTAAAAAAAAAAAACAGAAATCATATAAGTAATTCCTTAAACTTATATAGAAAATCCCTTATATATATGTAATTTTTTTAGCATTCTTAGCCATATGTCTTCAAGCAAACATGGGATGACTATTGGTTATGCAACCAAAAGTATTTATGAAAAAATGTTATTAAATTCTTTAACACATTATGCTACTTTGCTAGAAAATTTTAAATAAGATCACAAATAACATTTATTATTTATTCCATTTTTTTAAATGATATATTGATATTGATTAAAGTTCATATTTATAGTAGTGGATGCCTAGAAATTCTTTGCAGAAATTCTATATAAGATTAATTTGGTTATGGTAAATAGCTTTTTGAATGTTTAGAAAACTGGGGATGTCATATCTCAAGAAAAGGTAGCTGTATAATGGTGCTCTATAATTGGATGTTGTTTCTTTGCTATTATCTTTTGCCTTTCATTTAGCGGATCAGGTTGTTAGTTGTCTCTGTTGTTCGAACTCTTTGTTCATTGGTTGTGGTTATTTTTGCTAGTCGGGGTTTTAATTCCCTTTAATCTTGTGGTTAGTTGGTGTGTTGGGTGATATATAGTTCCCATGGGCGGATCCACCATGGTCTTAGGGGCACACCCTCAATTTTTTTTTTAAAATATTTATAGGGGATTTTTTATAATATTTTGAGTATTTTGGGCATTTTTCCCCCTCAAAAATATATTTTGTCTTAATTTTATCAATCACATGCATCTTTGCCCATCCCCCATTAATTTTTTTTGCCCACCCTTAAAAAAGAAGCTGGATCCACCCCTGATTAGTTCCCCTTCGGCTACTTCGGGCGTGGTAGTCTAACTTGGCTGGTTAATGGTACTGTTATGTGGATGTTTATTGGTTGCTTTTCTATGTGCTTGGCTTTGGCTAGGGATCTTTATCTCTGTGGGAGTTTTCGTACTGGTGCCTGTGCACCCATCGAATCTGCCTGCTCCAGAGCATATAGCCAACGTTCCCACTCGGAACAAGTTCACTGACTTGAGATGGGTTAAGAGGAACAGCCCGACTGGGGAACTGAAGAAGTCTTTCTGGGATCAGCAGTCTGAAGTCCCGGCCCCATCAAGGAAGAAAGAGCCTGAGACCCTGTCAGCTCGGGTGTACCGGGTATTGAAGACAGTGAAAGAAAAGGGTCTGAAGAAAAGGAGATTCCAGAGGCCACTAACGATTGAGGCCAGAAGGACCCCTCCGAGGGAAAGGCTATCGTCTGATTTGATAGCCGAAAGAAGAAGACGACAAAAACAAATTTCATCCGGTGAGCATCGGGGTGTGACACCTGAACCTCGGGTTCAGGGATCCACCGCTGAAAGGTCCCGGCAGAAAGGAAAGCAAATCTGGAGGCCAAGGCCTCATAGAGAAGAGAAGAATGAAAGAAGAACTGATCTGGGTGTGACATCCGGTGCAGCTTCCCGGAGATCCGCCCCCGTCAGTAAACAACATCAGAAATGGGTCCAAAAGAAGACCCATGATGACGCCAATCCCGACGGTAGACACCTTGGAGAATCCTCTAGGGGATCCCGTCGCGCACCAACTCCTCCCAAGAATGAATCCAACTTCGATCGCAGCCCGCAGATCGAAGAGATCTTCTTACCAAGCCAAGAACCGGAGATCCAGTGGCGCCGCCGCTCGGAGATCCGAGTACTAGAAGAAGAAGAGGAAGAAGATATGGGGGAAGAATATATAGAAGATATGGAAGAAGAAAATATCGAAGAATATATCGAAGAAAACTTAGAAGAAATGAATAACACCTTGGACATGGAAGTGGTCTACATGGTGAGACACGTCAATGTCGATGATGAGGCCTACTACGATGACGGTGAAGGCGATGATCGTTGGCAACCGCCAGTTAGGCAAGTGTATAGACGTCATCATGAAGCTGGGTCCACCACTGGCGGAGGTGGTCATTCCCAAGGAGAGGATGAAGTTGAGGAAGTAGAAGGGACAAGTACTAGGGTTTACTTTACTAGATTCAGTGAAAATATATAAGTAGAAGCATCAGCAACGCCTACAAAACAAACTAGAAACAGTACTTTATCACCTCCATTCCAAAAGATTCTCAAGCCTGTATCTACATCCAAATCCATAAAAAAACCATTTAATTCCCAATATCAACTTCTCTCGAGCACCCATCATCTTCAATCCCAAGTAGAAGACCTTTCCTTAGATTCCCACTACTTTTCCACGCACAGTGCAAAGGCGCACACCACTTACTTGATGTGTTCAAGAAGGAATTCTCTCTGCAGACCACTCCTCCCTTATTTCAACTATTTTCCTTCCACCGACGTATCATGGGAAGAACAAGCCTTCGCAAAAGACTCATCCGGCGACTTGGGTGGCTGTGTGTGGCCGCCGAGATCCTACGCTTGTAGCTTCTGCCGGCGAGAATTCCGATCAGCTCAAGCTCTTGGAGGCCACATGAACGTGCACAGAAGGGATAGGGCAAGGTTGAAGGAGGCTTCAAGTCATAGAAGTGAAACCGATGAAGATGTTCAACCTTTTTATCCATTTTGCTCTTATATATACAGCCCTAACCCTAATTATGATGCTCTTGGGGTTGAAGTAGCTTCCTTTTTATTGGCAAAAGAAGAAATTTATAGCCAGCAAAGCATAGTTTCAGTAAGCTTGGAGATTGGAAGAGAGAATTGGAAAACAGGCGAGTTGGATCACAGGAGGATAAGAGATTTTGTTTATGGTGATTGTGATATCTCTAGTAAGAAGGTGAAGACTGATCTAATATTGACTTCGGATAGAAAGGACACTCCAAATAATCTGCAAAATTTCAAATCTGAGGTAATAAAACTTAGCCATAATCCAGTTGAAGAATTGGATCTTGAGCTTAGGCTTGGTGATTCACCAAAGGTTAAGGAGAGTCGTAGCATCATTGCGATTGAATAGGAAAACATAATCTCCTGTGTTTATATTACTTGCTGTACCCTTGCTTTACATGTCTTGGGGACGAAGGAGCCCTTTCTAAGTTATAGATAAATTTTTTTGAGTTTCTATTTTTTCTTTAAGAACTGACAGATCAATTAGTTACTTGTCTTATCCATGAAATTCATATCGAATATTTCAATGGAATAGAAGATGGGGTAGTAATAGAGAAAGAAAATAAAGATGCTAGCTGCTCCATCTTTGCTTTATTAATCTTTAAATTAAGTAGTATATTATGTTGCTGTTATGGTTCCACCTTTGATCAATGGATGTTAGATCAAGAATCAAGCTCTCACTCCTGCTAGCTCTTTTCTTTGGATCACATCCACTTAAAGTATCTAAGACAAATCAGCAACTGGACCGATCCGATGATTTTATTGGAGTCTGAGGTTCCATTTGGGACGACTTTCTTATTGCTTTCTAAAGTGACTTTATACTACAAAATTTTAAAATTTTTACTAAAAAGTCATTTTAAGACGCAATAAAAAAGCTGTCTAAAATGAAACCGGAGTCATCTCATTTTGCTCATTCTAAGCTGATAGTAGTTTGGTTTAAGAAAAAAATTCAGACAAAAGATTAAAAAAAAAAAAAAAAACAAAGACCGACTCCTACAAAAAACTTTCCTTTGAAGAGGGTTGGGTTAGTAATCGCAGCAAAGTTTATATTAAGATAACAAGATTCACAAAACCCAAATCCAATGTTTTGATCAACTTTGATAACTCAAATTAGACGGAGATTAATTTTATAAGTAAAACCATAATCTTATCTATATCCATTATATGACTTTTTATTCTAAAGAGCTTTTACTAAAAGATTTTGTTTAGAGATCAGCCTGAAGCACGGCTGTTTACAAGACAAATTTCAAGCTCCTTATTTGTGGAGCTTGGCCAGATCCAGACTGTAACAACGATAAGTTTTTTCATTGCCACTAGTCTAGTGATCTTTTGGTTTAATTTTTATACTTTTTTTTTTTTTTTTTTTTTTTTTTTTTTTTTTTTTTTTGTGGAGGGGGATTGCATTTTATACATGTCTGATCTGATTATATTTTTGTTTAAAAAATAATGGTAAGGCCAAGACAAGGTAATGTTCCCGACAAATTTAATAAAGGGTGAGTTACTGGAGTAAGAAACATAAGTGTTGCTTGGGAAATAGTACTGTAGATAAGAGAAATTGTCTTTTCTGAGTCCACGTTTCTAAATTTCTCACTCTCTCTGACACATTCTCATACTGAACATCCACATGCTATGGTGTGGATTCCCTTCTACGTGCTCTAATATCAGGAGCCACAAATTCTCTCTCTCTCTCTCTTCTTATGGCACCTGTTCATTGTGTTCTTTAAAAAAACGTTCAGCATAACAAACTACAAGAACATTCACACCCACATCAGGGAATCATCCTAATAAACATATAGTATTTGCCAACAAGCACTCAATCATATCAGAGAAAGATAGTTTATTCCGCCTTCTACGGCTTTTTTGTTTCTTCTCACACATGTCTTTGAAGTCCAAGTGATAGCTTAGTGGGGCAGAATCTAGCTAACCCTAAACAGATAAACTTCTTAACAGTTAGAGCTAGACCAAGCCGAAGTAACCGCAGCTTTTTAATGCCTCCAGAATTCCAGGCGACCTTTCAGTTTAGGGTTTTGACAATTTTAGATCAACCGTCAACTTCAGTGTGAATTGAATTAGCAAATACTGGGAAATCAAAAGATGCCTGTATGAGAGGAAGGAGCAAGAATTGGAAGGTATGAACTAAAATTGGAGAACTTAGGGCATCTGACTGGTCGAAATTAGGAATTCATAGTCAGCCCAGTCATGAACTGGGTGTGGCATACTCGGTTGCACCTTGAAGGTAAGGGACAAGATCGAAAGGCAGGGTGGAGGAACCATCCAGGGTCTGAAAATTATTTTCCAAACAATAAAATTAGCAGCAGAGCAGGGAAACCGACAAAAGTTGTGTTCTGGATGAACACCACAATGAAGAAACTAGCAAGAAAGTAAAAATAGCGGAAAAATAAAGGATATCAAGATTTAACGTAGAAAAATTCAAAATAAGGAAAAAAACTACGGAGCTACATTACATCAAGAAATCCGTTATAAAAATTAGGACAAATAACTTCTAGCAGACATCGTTCTCAATGCCGAACTACTTAAAATACAAGAGAAAACCCCAAGGGATGCAACTCTTAAAAAAAAACGAGAAAGAAAATTATCAAGTCCATCTCACAACGCTGTGACGCTCAAGCCTGTTTCTGATGACGTTGCGATGTTTAAGCTCACAGCACTGCGAAAAAAAAATTAAGAGTGATGTGGCGCGCTGCTATCTGTTGTTTAGCGTTGGGGCGCTCGGATACACAACATCGGGACGTTGTATTGGAAAAATTTTTCAGTTGCAAAACACTCAAACCCAAGCAAGGGATAAACCCCCGCACCATTCAACAAACACGGCAAACTTGAGGTCCGAGGCAATATAACAACCTGATTGATCAACAAAATCATTTTCCACACATAAGAAGTTGTTCAAAAAAGCATACCATTGCACAAAAACTAGAAATTGGACTTTCGAAAAAAAAAAAAAAAACAATTGATAATATTAATCCATATTTGATTTATTGTGCACTTATTTAGCTTGCCTCAAATAGCTCTTTTGATTGTGTAAAGCGGATAAAATATTTTTTGAGCTGTATTATTTCTTTCCCTCTATATATGATGAAAAATGTAGTGCATCAAAATATGATAAAACATTTTAAAGCATTTAGGAGTACCTTCGATGAATCAATGTGTTCTAAAATTTAAAGAAGACTTAAAAAAGAAGATAGATGCCTAGGGTAGTTATTCCTTAAGAATTGCATTTGGAAAGAACAAGAGAATAGTAGTTGGCTTAGGGTTTCATTTTCATCCTAAAGTAGATGATAACATTGATCAATAATGATGTTCATGGAAGCAAAGACATGTAATTTTCATCCACCTTTTATTACAAGCTATATGAATAGACAGAAGAATGCGTATAATATTGGTTGCCCTCCTAAAAAGATTGCACCAATAATCACTCATAAAAGAGTCATGAGAGCCTTCACAAAAAAGATTGAAAATAGGCTCAACAAGCTGATCTTTCTGAGAAATCCCCTCTGAATTAGAAGTAACATGTCAGGTTAAAAAATAAGCTTCTTGATAGATTGTAGTTAGCTTGGAAGAGGAAACTGCAAACGATTCTAATTTAAAAGGGAGTTGAGGCAATCAAAAGTGGGGATGAAGGTTGCTTTCAAGGCCCTCCAAACTAAGGAAAACATAAAAATCATTTATTATTCCAAGGATCTCATAGTAATAAGAAGGAAGGGCTTGCGAATGAGAGGCAGAGGGGTGAGGTTTCATGGGTTGAGCAATTGATGAGAGACTTAAAAAAATGAATATTTTCTATCAGCAAGCTTCCAAGCTGAAGTATACTTGCCCAAAAACCATAAAGATATGATATTATTGCTTTTCCAAATTTTACATATGAGCAAGGACATGAAACCATAGGAACTAATCTAAATGGATGGAGATCAAGGCCACCTTTAGCACATGGCAACAAGAGTCCTAGGATATAATATCAAACTTTTAGTCTAGATATTTTCATGAAAAAGGAATTTGGAGCACCATTTAGGAAGTGTGTGGATGAAACCCTTGGTGAGAAAGAGAGATCCAACCCAATATATAATGATGTTCTATATAATAAAATTAAGAATGGGAATCCCCCATCAAAAGACATGCACTTATGACGCAGGAGTGCCCATATAAATAACTTGTATTTTCTTATTAGTAATTGGTGTAGCTCTATCTCTTGTGTAGCCTATTATGTAGCAGTTCTTTCTCTTTTGCAACAACATTTTGTGGATATCAAAGCAGTTGTTGTTGACATTCGGTGAAGGAAAACAAGATATCAGCCTGCTTTTGAGCTGATTCCAGACGTCCAAATTAGCATATTCGTCTCTTCCAAGCCGCTAGGCCGATCGTCCCAGGTGGAGCATCTTACGGCCCAGGCTTCTCCAATCATTGCTTAGTCTGACCAATCTTGCACCATTCAGCTCCAGCCCGTGAGATGTCATGCCGATCCTAAAGCACAGGAACAAGACTCCTGCTGCCAAATTGTTGTCTAACCTGCTGAGGGCTGCAAGGCGCCTATCTTCAGCAAGTAGTTGTATGAATCTTGTACCCTTCTACATACAAAGGCATTACACAATATTGATGATTCTTGCGGGAGTTGTTTCCGCCTAGAAGAAGTTTTCTTGCTCGAAGATCAAGTGGTATCAAGAGGCCTCAAAGAAGACATTCTGTGCAAGCCAAGAATAGTCTAGCAAAATGTCATCTCGCTGGAATCTTCAGCGACCACTTCAAGAAGCTGAAATCGAAGATCTTCTATAAGAAATGGCACGACTCAAACTACGATTTGCAAGAATTGAACCAAGCAAAAATTTGAGCCGTCCATGGCAAGTATGCTGTCACGAAGAATTCAAAATCTATCATTTCAACTAAATTCTTAAGAACCGATGATAGCATTTCAGATGATCAGATCTCTTCCACTCCACCCTTGATCGAGTTCAGCTTCAAAGAATTTGAAAATCCGTTGTCAAAATTCTCGTATTTGCTTCTCTACGATGAGCCTGTGTACGACGTGTATCATGATGACATGTTCGGTGGAGTTCTTGATCTTGATCAACCCATATATGATAATGAAGAGAGCAAGGTGGATGCACCGTTAGAGCTAGTCATTCATATTAGTCCTGGTTTAAAACAACAAATACGCTCAACGTACGTCATTGATTGCGAAATTAGTATGACCAAACTTGACCACGAAAACCACCTTGGTTCCGTTACACATTTCGAAACCAAATTCTTGGAGGCGATCTCTATGGATACCGATATGTGCATAGTTGATCCATTTTATGTCCAATTCAATTCAACTCGTGAAGAGTGTTGTTTGGACGA